GAGAGAGAAAGCCCTTTTGCCTTGGGCGATGATGGGCAAGACAGTGGGTCGGACTGTTGGCGGTTTGCTTCCCTTGCAGGGGCTGTGTAGGGGCACATTGGCTTGACTGGGTGCACCTTTGAGGGTGGACCGTGCAGTGCAGCATCTGATGTGGCCGCGGGTTTGTGATCCTGGCGTGCAAGGAGAAGCTTCAGCTGTTGTGGGCTTGGATACTGTGTTGCAGCCCACAGGCAGTTGGTTGCTGACCATGCAACCAGTGCATGCTGACTGCATTGGTGGCACTGGCGGTCGTTTTGTGCATTCCAAGGGTTTAGTGTGATTGTGGGTGTACGCGATCCCATCGAGGGTGTGCGGACGATTGTGCAACCTAGCGATACGTCTGTTGTGTACTGGCGGGCGGAAGGGGCGGTGAACAACTGTACTAGAGCCTGGAACGCGGCTGTGACCCAGCCACAGGCTGGAAAACGTGTGAAACATATTTCTTTGGCCTTGTTTGATTACCTCTGCTGCTGCCTTTCCTCTGCCGCTGCGAACCCTCTTAATGTTGCAGCGCTTTCAAGGGCAATATTTCTTTGCAAGTACATGCCAGTGCAACTGCGAATGGTTGCGCACAGCAGTGCTGCACTGTGCCAAGCTCTGGCTTGCTCATCGCGCCGTCCCTCGGTACCATTGTCTTGTTATGTTATCCTGGGGCTGATTCGGATTTTCCTTGCCAACAGCCACACTGAATGGGCACTGGAGGGTAATGAATGAAGTGGCAAAGTAATCATCGTTTCTTCACGTTTGGCAAAGGGATTCCGTGTTTCATCCGATGGCTGCTGAAGGTCATGAAGCCCCAACCGCATCAGGGGCATGGATCTGTCAAATCGACAGATCAACGACAGCGTCAAAGCTCTAACCCCCTCTGACATTGGGCGCTGGCTTTCACGGCGATCATTTTTCATGACGACCTGATTTGGGACTCGTGACCGGCTTCGCCTTGCAGGTAGAAGTGCTGTGTTTCACCGATCTTGTGGACAATCTACACCCACACACGCGCTCGTCGCATCGCAACGAATTCTGTGCATTGTTCCGCTGATGGCGAGGCGGATGCTGCACCGCCGAAACCGCAGGGGCTCACGCGCCAAAGGCGCACCCGATGGTCGTCAGTTGGCAGCTTGTGACCACCCTTTGACCACGCACTACAGATAGACGTCCCAAATGACGACAACGGCCGTTTTGCAGCCAAGCAAGCGCGAACCAACTTTGAGCCAAGCAATGGGGCCCAGGGGCTGCCCAGATGCTTGAAGCCCTTCAAGAACCAAGTTAGTTCACGTGCACGGGCAGAGCATGGCCGTGAAAGCAAAACTGGCAGCACAACGTAGCCCAATTACCGTGTATTGCGACGATTATGGCTGGTCATTGTGCAAATGCGCGGCTGTCTTATGGGCGCGTGGACATCGCGTGCAGGGCCTCGCCGCTGTGCTTGATGTTATTTCGTTTGCGCCAGTGGAGAACGACTTTGCAACAATTTTCAGTCCACACAAGAAAGGCAGTATTCAACTTCTTTGCCCTTGCCGTTGGTGAGCCAGGCGCAGCTCATTGTTCCTGTCTGGGCGTCAATGTTATGAGTTAGCTTGTGGCATTGCGCACGCACGGTAGTCGGCAGGCCGCCATCGATGTTTGTCAACCGAGTTGGGCACCATCCGGTCATCTGGCGACTTGGGCTCAAATGGCAACTCCATTGGCGAGCGGCGATTCCATTATGGCGTGCGTGGCCCGCCGTTTGTCACAGAATCGCACATTCGCAGCGCGGCGCCAGCACATCCCCAATGCAGTCCCTCCATCCAGAGCACAGACGTCCTTAAAGTGATCCTCGCTGCAGTTTGCTCATTGCCAGCCAGACCTGCCCCATCTCCAGAGGATCGAAGAAAAATCCATGCCATGCGTTTCAACAAACGTGGCGCAGGGTCACCTTCCAGCACGCCCCCCTAACTTCAATCACTGTCATCCCGTGGAGTCTCGCCACAGTCCGTCGACGGGGTCCCTTTCCCGCAGAAACACGGCCGCTGAATCGGCCCCTGGATCGGAGCCCTGACTCAGCTGCCGACCAGCCACATGCGCTGCGCCCCGCACTGGTGTTTCTGCAGACGCCCCTCTGATTTCAGGAATACCTCCTACTGCGCTCCCCCAAATGCCTCCGTTCAACAGCCACGTACACCGCACAGTCAATCCGACAACGACACAATTCCAAGTTGAATTCCAATGTAACGACGCGTGCACGCCCACCCCAGTGGCATGCGCCACACGAATTGCCGGCAGCCTCTCATCGGTGTTCTGGCCGGGGCCAAGCAATTCCCAAAACACCGCACAGCGACCCTTCAGCAGCAACACGCAATCAGTCCCGGCCACGTCGGCACCCCGCTTGGCCCCCACACCCACCACTCGATTTAGCAACTGATCGACAACAAACCCTTCGGGAGCGACTCCCCCCGGTAGCTCAACTTCACACACTCACACTACTCAAACAGCCCGGGCCCCACGCCGCCCCCCGTCCTGGACCCCTGCTTTTGCGGGTGAGAACCTCTTCACCCCGCTCAGATTGAGCCTTGCCTCCAGGCTGTGGACGCATACTTCTTGCAGTGGGTTATCTCCCGTTAGGGAAGCAGCCCTCCCGGCAGCCGGAGTCAAACGCTGGTCGCTCACCGCTGCCAGCCACCTGGCGCCACGCGGCGCCTGGCGCCGTCCAGCCCCCCGGCCCCTGGGGCCCAGAAGAACTTTTCGTACTCCGTGCCCAGGGCCTGGGCCCGTATGGCGTCGTTCAGGTCCTCCAGCGTCGGCCCGGGGCCAGCCTCCTTGACCATGCCGAAGGGCCTGAACACCGTCGAGAACACTTCCCGCCGATCGAACCTCGGCCCGCGCCGCACCGCGAGTGCCGTCGCGGATCCGTCCCAAGGCTCGACGGGGATCCCGCCAATTGGACCCGCCGCGACGCCGAATGGGATCTGGCCATTTCGGCGCGGCGGCAGCCTCGAGTGGGGGGGGTAGGGGTAGGGGTAGGGGGTCGTCAGGTCGACTATGGGGGCGGGCCGGCGCGGTAGGCAGCGGTCGCGCAGCGGCGGGTGGGCGCAGGAGATGGAGGAGGGAGCCGGGTGCGGGGGGTGCCACGGGGGGTCGCAAGGACTGTGCGGGCGCCCGCGCCACCCGCAACGGCACCCAGGGACGAAGAAGCCGCGGCCCGGCGTCGAGGGGTGCGGCCCCCCGGGTGCCGGGCGCGATCCCGCCGGCCGCCCGTCATCCATAGCTCCGATGCGGCCCGGAATGGGCATGCAGTTCGGCGGGCAGCCGCGGTGCTCAGCGGCCGGCTCCGGCCCCGGGTACACCCCCGCCGGGCTGCCCTTCTCCCCGTTGGGCAATTCCAGCAGATCGCCGATCTCCTGCAGCTCCAGCGCCCCCGGCCTGGGCAGCCAGCCCGGCAGGTCGTCATCCGCGCACGCTGGCCCGTAGCCCCCCCTGACCAGCCCCCCTCCTCCGGGATCATCCATTCCGACTCCAGCGATGAATATCTTCGCCGATCCGCCCTCAACCTGTTGGCAGTTTTGGCGAGAGTGGCCGCCCCGGCGCCTGAGGCGCGCACCGCGGGGGTTGTAGTCGTCCTGTCCGGCCCGCAGGCCCCTGGATGCCAGCTACTGAGGCCCTGACGCCAGCTACGCCAGATTGGCACCTCCCGCCAGCGCCCTCCAAAGTGCGCCATTAACGCCCCTTAAAGAGCCATTATGGCGCGCCAATTCCCCTTTCCCGCCCAAAGGGACAGAAAGTGCGTTGGGCGCTGGCCGGCGCGGGCGCGGGCCCCAGTACTTGGCGCGCGCGTTTTCGAGCGCGGGGCTGCGCGCCGTTCCAGGAGCCCGGGAATGACAGATACTCATTTCTGGCATTGGTCCGTCTGGAGACCCGCCCCGCCCGAGTCAAATCTGGCGCCTGTGGCGGGACCGAATTGGCGGGCCGCCACAGTCTGCCTGACCGCGCCACGAGATCGCATCCCGGCAAAAACACCCACGCCTAATCCCCCTCGGCGGCCCACTTGGCGGCGCCGCCGCCACGCACATCCGAGATATGATTTGCGTGGGCGCCGCAGCTTCAGGTGAGGCGGCGTGGCCGAATCTGATGGGGACATTGGCAGGGCGACGGCGCCTATGCGCCGCAGGTGGGGCCGCTCGGGGGCGCAGGGCGGCGGGGGTCGCTGGAGGGGCCGGCCCGAGGGCGGGGTGTGCGCCCCTGCCGAATGGGATACTTGTAATAGATCCGATCCCCGCCGCCTGGCACCGCTGGCAACCGCGCCGGCGCCAATTTCTCCCCCGAATCCGATTCTCCTCCAAAATGGGAGGGGGATTAGCAGCCGAGGGCCAGATTCATCATTGGTGGGAGCCAGAACACGAAGATTCGTTCGTGAGGAGCAGGGACGCGCAGAATGGATGCGTGGAAGTTTTTGCGATGAGAGACGTGGTGCCCGTGGCTGTCCAAGGGAACCTTGCTCTTCGAGGGCAGTGTGGGAATAAACAAGGTGATTCACTGTCCGCGAATTGTCTGCGAAGAAAAAAGTGTTTAATAGCCCTGCAGCGGCTTTGGTAGAATGGCAAAAATATCAAGAATATACCAAGTCGGTACTTTTATATCTTACTTTTGGTGCTTCAATCCGCCCTCTTGCAACAAGCTCGCCAGTCACAACCGCAGCAGCCATGTTACACAGCCCGAGGCATCCAATTACAACTTTGATTGGTACAGATGCACACGCAAAACGTCATTCAATTGAACCGCAAATGGACAAATCCCCGCCCGGCAATCTCTCATCACATTTTGAAGGGCGTCTGGTTGCAGTGGGCACACCGACAGTAAATATACACGGGTGGGGCCCGTGTGTGATGAGGTGGACTTCAAAGGGCATTCCCGCCCTCGATTGGCAGATTCGAGGAGTCGAACTCTGGACGTCGGGTCTTCGAGGACAATCGCACATTGGGTTGTCGCTCCAGCAAACAGCAAACATATCATGCAACGGGGCACCCCGCCAACCGGAGTTTTGGAGGCTGTGCTGCGTGCTCCAGAAGATGAGCGTGAAATCTCCAAGTGGAATAGGCAATGGGCTGTGGCGGACGAGAGCACACTGGCTGCACTTCAGAGGCGGGACTTGTTGGTTTGTTGGCGCCACAGCCTTGGGGTTCCTGAAAACTGCCTTGTGAAAACAGATCCGGCCACCGTATAGCCTTCGTTGCTCATGGGCCTGAATGTGCTCAGAATAGGATTGTTGTATCTTGGCGGACCCCCAGCCACCCAATCTATAAAAACACGTAGCTTTATCGGAGGACTGGTGCCAGATACAGGATCGGTGTTGCTCGGATCAGCAATGGCACATCGGGTATCAGTGCACTGGGCATCCCCCTCCTAACCAACACGTTTGGCATTCCTCCCTACTGTAAGGGACGATGTTCATTCGACAAAATGGCTCCACAAGGGCAACAGAAACTGCAATCCAGCTTGCAGTCCTCGTGACTTGTGCAGCACGTGGCTGAAATGGGGCATGGTGCACATTCTTAACAATCAATCATTGCCATTCACAATCAGACAATGATCAATCACAACAAAGTATTGAACTGGTTGCAAAAAGATACGCCGCTGAATGGAAGAATCAGTTGATTCTCTAACTGGATTAGCCACGACCAACCAACACTCAGTAAGTGTGCTGATTCAAGCACAGCGCGCCTGACATAGCGCAGAGCAACACCCATGATGCAACTCCCTGTGGCATCCAGAACGCCAACAGCGGTTGCGTCAGTGTCATCTTACGGTATGTACACATGCAGATCACCTGGTGCCCAAGCAAACTGGCTCGTTGCTATACTGAAGAAAAAGACAAGCAAGCCTCAAACCAAGATAAAACTGTGATTGTCTTGAGGAGACTGGGGGCAAGGTCAGTGGCGAGAAAAATTGGTTACACATGGAGGAACAAAAATACACTATCATACAAATGCAACTTATGATGTGTCCATCCCCGGTAAAACCACCCCCAAAACCAAATTAGACATTCCGAACAATGGGTGGCATCCCACTGCCACATTTTATTTCACCACTGAAATCATGTGAAAGATGGGGCCATTACACCCATAAGTCCCTCTCCCCAGGTTTGAAAGCAGGTAAGCGCACCACAGGTGCATTTCCGGTAGTCAAATGGGAGCGAAACACCTGGACCACAGGCTACTCTCCGCAGCAAAGCATGCAGTACACAAGGGCATTCACTCAGATAAAAAGAATGGTGATAACCACGGTGTGGCAGGAGAAGCACGGCGTTCCCCTCTGTAGAAAGAGAAAACTGGGGCGGGATGCAGAGCCCCACCAATAAATTCAACACAAATTGTGGCCCAACTATCGTTCATTATTGTACCCCAATGAAAGCATGCGCCACGACTAACCCCATCCAGTGTCATCTTTCCCACAGGAGGTAGCATTCGGCTCCTTGCCCTTCACCAGTCGCCTTCCTGCATAGGCAGAAAGCGATACTCAGGGATGTCCTCATACCATTCGCATCCTGACCTGCAAGCCGCCAACATGCCACAGGTGTCTCGAACGCTCTTTACAGCAGTGCCTCGAGGCACGAATTTGGTGGTTGCCACTCTCTATGTAAAGAACAGTTGACCGGCTAATGCACAATTCGTGTTGCACATTTGTGGCTATTTTTAGAGGCTCATAGCACAGATGAAAATGCAGAAGATCGGTTGGGAGTGGACACTCCAGCATACACATGAGTCAGCACACTGCAAATGCTCATGCACCAATCATGGTAGGATGCCTCCAGGTCTATCGATGCCAGGGAAGTCCTGAACGTTGCTACATGGGCATATATATTATTGCAGCGTTGCTCCACATTTCTTCACTGCGATGTGCCAACACTGTCAGACTGTCAGAATTCCAGGTGCATAGCAGCGCACAACACCCTGCCATGAACAAATGATATTCGTCCGTTGTAGCCTGACAGGCAAAAGAGCAGTGATTTGTCAAGATACGAAGGGGAGACATAGAAGATTTATACACTACTGGAAATGCAGCTCCTACAAAATCCCACTGTCCCATTGGATCCCAGTAGCACATGCAGTGGCTTCAAAAACTGGTGATCATGCAATGAGCAGTGCATCCCACACTTGCCAAGCACGCTCAGCATGCACGGTGGCCAAAGCTAAGGGCAGGGCAACACCACCCAAAATACACGTGCAGTTCAACAACTGCGCCAGAGGTGCAGTCCAATATTGCAATCCAATGCAATCCATTAGTGTCAAACCCTCACACATCAGGTGCCCACAGGCTACAAGCTCCTGCTCAACCCTTTGCAGAGGCACCGCTGCGTCTTAACAATTGTAGAAGACAACTCATCCTCACTGTCAATACAGCCAACATCGCCTTGCAGGTGAAACTGTAGATAATGCCACATGTTTCAACTTGTGAGAAGTGATGATTTATGTGGGCTGAGAACGGCCAGAACACCAGTGTCTTGAGCACGCAACACAGGGGTGCAACAGGCTGTCGCCATTTGTTTGTGCACGCTGTGCGCATCCACAAGAGAAGAATGTTGATATGTTTCAGCCAGATGCAACTGTGCATTGGCTTTTTCTTTGGGTGCTAAAAAGCTGACATTTTTTGGAAGCAGCTTGCAGCCAGGCTGGCATTCCCCCTCACAGCCGCTGTTCAGGGTCACGACCGTACCCTCAGATGGCGCCCTAATTGCCGAGTGCTGTGGCAAGGACTCATGGCCCCAGGGGTGCTATTCTAAGTCTTAATTTGTGCTTGCAACCCATCTTTTGTTGGGTGCTCATCAAACCATCTGACCGACAAGCGCAACGGCAATGTTATGCTGCAGGAGTCAGTGGACGGGAGCTGCCAACCAACATCGGCAAACCGACACTGGGCTGTTGTCCCCACCTTCATGACTTTGGCTTTCTCGACGATGAATTTGCCCTCCTTGTACTTCTGAGACTCGTCGAACGCCTGTTCCTGACACAGATCACCACACTGGGGTCAGTCGTCCGTCCACAGCAAGCACGCCGAGTCGCGGCCGCTTGAACGCATCACCGGTCCTCGCAAGCAGCAGCGCCACCTTGACAATCGCGGCCGTGGCCGGCTGCGCCCACACGAGGAGTGCAAGCTCCGATGGCTCATGCCATGCTCCGCGCTGCCGTCTGGATCCGTCCGTTAGCCGCCGCCGGACATCCTTTGTCGCCAATCAAAACACACCGCGCCGCGACAAGAGGGGTGATCGTTGGGCGCCACGTTCGCATCGACGCGGCACCCATCCTGGAGCAAGGGGGGGCTGCAGCACGCGTCCAGCGGCAGGGCACTCACGTATTTCCAGCCCAGCACGGCGTTGCAGCACGTGCAGTAAATGTCCGCCACGGTGTGCAGGCCGGTGATCAGCAGCCTCTCCTCTTTCGGGCCTAGGGTCACGTTCAGCCTGAACGAACGTGCATCCAGCGGCGTGGGTCAGGCCGCGGCGTACCCGATGGGCGTCGATCAGCGACAGGGCACGGCGAAGGAAAGGGGTGGAGGGCGAAGGGGCCGGGGGAACACTGAAACAGCGAGCGCACCACTCACACTTTGTTGAAGAGGTAGGCCCTGCCGTGGCGTCCTTGAAATGCCTGGGTGAGCAGCCGCGACGCTAGTCAGCGAAGCAGCACAACAGCTCCGCGGGCGCCCGGGCTCCAGGAAACTCTGCCGCCACCGTTCTCCCTCCAACGATCAAAGTACCAGAGGCGAGCGAGGGGGCAGGCGCCAGGGCGCCCCGCCCGCGACGTTCCCACCCGGTGCCCTCGCGCGAGGGGCCGCAGAGGATGAAACTCATTCCGGATTCCGGATCAAGGCGCCGCCCCCAACCTTTGATATGATGTCGTCGTGGTCAGCGGCGTGGGCGCGGCAGTTCGCGCAGCTGTAGACACGCGGGCAGTCGAGGTACTGCATGAAGGGGCGCCCCATCTTCCCGGGCGCCCGATCGGCCCTCCCGGTGGCCCGCGGCTCGAGGAGCGGCTCGAGGTCCCTCTTTGCGCCGCCGCGCGGCTGCAGATCGACACCGACGGGGGTGGGCGGCGGGCAGGCGGGGCGCGGGAGGCAGGGCGGGGCGGGGCGTTTGCGCAGGGGTGCCAAGGGGCGCGCAAACTTGGGTCTGGCGGTTGAGGTTGCCTGGCTGCCGCGGGAAAAACGGTGTCTTGGTGCGTCAGCACTCTCAGTTGGACCGGTCGCCTGGCGCCGCTAGATCTTTTTGGGGCGGGCCTTAAGGGGGGGCGCCAGTGCGCGGAACGCAGACCGGTGTGGCCTTTTTGCCGCCTTGGGCCAAAAAGGATGCCAGGGCGTTGGCGGGCGTGGCTACTTCGTTGCTTGGCGATTGAACCACGAACGAGGGGCGCCGTTACAACCGGAGCTGATCGAGTATTATTGATGGCTGGACGCATTAACAGGTGATGAGACAATAAGAACTGAATTAAGGACACTGATGAACGGACAGGATATAAGCGACAGAATTCCTGTTGTCCCTTTGCAACACTGTAAACCGTTGCCGTGTGCTCGAGCCTACGTTCCCCATTCAGGGGTCGCCACCCCTCGACCCCGCCTGCCTTCGTCAGCGCCAAACAATGACAAGCTGATGAGATGGTTTTGTGGAGCGATGTCTGTGGAGAGAACAAACACTGCGATGGGCCGGTACGGCGTGAGTTTGCGGAATGCAAGGTTGATGACACCTGAATCTTAAATGATGATCGTGGACAAGCATCCAATCCCGATGGCGCCCCGTCGATTCGGGTATTGGCATGGCTTGTGGATGGAATAATGCGCCACAACTGTGCAGTGCATTGCCGCATTGTTGACTGGAGTGCCAACTTGTTGAAGGCATGCAACAAATCCGCGAGGCTGGCAGCACTGCTGCCGAGATTCGGAGAGTACAGGACCACACATCGTCCAGGGAGTGCTCAGGGGCGCCTAGCGTCACCCATATGTGAGAGGGAAGTGTGAGGGGGTAGAAATACCACGTCAAGCATAATCGCAAGCAACAGCGGCCAGCCCCACAGCATATGAGCTTAGTTTAATTCAATCAACGAGATAACTAACGCAAAGTATTGCTGCATTCTATTCCCAAACTGTGTACACATCCAACATACCCCCTTCTCTCACGACCCCACAAGAATGCGAAGGACGCCAACAAGTACAAGTACAATTCAAAACCCAAGCACAAAGCTGCAGCTCACAAACTGCAAGTCACAGCAACACATGACTGAGGGTTCACAGCTCATGCACATAATGTCCCACATCATGGAAAACGCCCAAGACTGCCACTGCCCCTTCTCTCAATCTCTCCAGAAGTTGACTGCACTGGTTAGAAACGCCAATTCGCTAATTGGGCATCACCTGATGTGCTCTCCTCCTCAAAACTAAAGTACCGGTCCAAATTCCGGCAAGTGATGCACCCAAGCGGCTGGCATGACAGCGATAAAAACTGGATTACACTGCCAGCCCCGGCCACCAGCATGCCCTGGGCCCTTGGATCCAAATGGATCGAAAATGCGCTGCGCGGCGCAACAGGTGCCCTCTGTGTCTGCACACCCTGGAAGTTGAATCTGGAGACGAAGGGCTTGGTGCCCACGACAACGATTTCGTCTTCATGGACGGCAATGGCCTGCAGCAGAATCAGCATATTCCCATAATGTACACACTGGCTGCGATTGCAGGATGCGGTCCTGCTGTACAACAACCAACAGGTAATAGGACAGGTTGTAATATATTGCTCAACACCTAAAATCCATGCAAAACTCCTGTGATCCCTGCGATGCTCTGCAGTTTAGTATTGGACTTTGCTTTCAAGGTGGCATTTTCACAGGACATTCTGTGGGCGGAGCTTTGTCTGACAATGCCTGGAAAGTGCCAAGCTAAAGCTCTATCACTGTTCCGCAAATGCAACCAGAGGATGCATTTGTGGAACAGTACTTTCAGTGGCAGAACTGTTCCCACCGCCAGGCATCAAAGTGGAGACACCAGTTACTTTCGCAATGTTCAAATCTAAGCAAGGGGATTTGTAGTCAAGGAAAAGCCATGAATACGAATTGACTTCATCACCTGTGAGTCAGGGAATGGGGTGTCGATATGTTCAGCACCAGGTGGCACATCGTACACACAGTGCAGCCCATGGGCTGCCAAACGCGTCTGACACCATATTGTCCCATTAGCTCAAGTTCAGTTTGAAGGCAGATTTGATCGAATTTGCATTCTGTTCATAGCAGACACCTGATACGGACAATCCACACTGTACCTTGGGTCTGGGTGCAAGTGAATTATTGCAGATATAAAATGAAGAAAATGTGACAGGCAGTGCTTGCCGTTGTATGATACACCTTTTATCCAAGAATGCCTGGCAAGCAGTAAAAGGGGTTTTGAGGCATGTCAGGGACCACAAGATTGTGGCAGCAAAATATGACCAATCAGCATTGCCACCGATCAGCATGTACACTGTCAACTGCTGAACGAACAGAATAGGGTGCCAGCTTCAGCAAAATGCTGCCATCATTAATACTCCCTCTGTCCCACAGCGAATGATGGTTGTCAAAAACGGCAAAACCATTGCCATATTCTGTTCAAGTGTAACAAACAATATCAAAAACGGAAAGGAAAGGTGCCAAACCTTTGAGAACCACCCCCATCTACAAATGAATTACATCCGAGGCCGTTTCATCATGCCTCTAAAAGTGGGCTGCATCACCCAAATGCACCTGACAGCAACCTCCGACATGCCCTCCCCCTGTTCTGCTCTTACTCCTTGCCCACATGGGGCAAGTTGAAGCTGTTGCTGCCTTCTACCTCAAATATGTTCTCCATAACAGCGAAAAACGAGCGACACACATTCTCCATGGTCAAGGGGCGTTTCTGAGCCACCGTGAGATATGCACGACATTTGGTCCAACATGCGCATGTTTGAGGGGTCACACCTCCCTCAGAACTTAGTCGATTGATGTAAAAATTTGATGGATCAAAACTGACACAAAAACTAAATATCTGGTCAAAACTTGAGTGTTGTTGGAGATGTTTTTATTGGTTTTCCCAAGGTCACAAGTCATAACCGCCATTCATTTTGGGAAGGGAGTATTACCAACACATTCAGAGGATTATTCAAGCTCAGTTCCACACAGCCTTTGAAGGAGACACGGACCTGTGGAGTGGAGTCAACGGACACTTGGTGCACAAGTGCCCCTACTCCCAGGCTCCAGAAACCCAAAGATGGAGAGTCGCTCCCACACAGCACCCAGCTGCCTTCGGGATCGAATGCCACGCAGGGCACACATTGAGACCTGTTCCATCCCAGGTAGGCCTGGCTGTCCAAAGACGTTGTACCTTCGGCAACGGGATCAAACGCCACAGTGCACTGGGAGTCCCGGCAGTCCCATATGCGAACAGTCCCGTCCTATGGGCATAATCAAGTTACTATCAGCCAAATTTCTGAGAATATGATGTTGCAATGCTCAACCAACCTTTCAAGATTTCGATTGCACTGTGGTGCATAAACAGAGCACCCTTGCACCTTTCTCCTGATTGGGGCGAGTTTTGTCTACCTAGGCCACAAAAGGAATGAAGGGAAACCTGTATACCTGTACACCAGTGAGCTTGCAATTTCTGTGGTCATGATGGGCAGCACACAACAGGCAATTTTCTGTGTGTGAGAATCAATAGCATTGAAGCAGAAAATGCCAACTCGCACAACTGGCTCAGCTGCACAACTGGCTCTGTTGCTTTTACAGTCAGTGACAGTCAGCATACAGCAGACAGTCTCGACGGAGGAATGAGGGCAACGATGCAGATCATTTCAGACCACTGCCAATTGGCTCCACCTTCCAACAGTACAGATCACAGCAACCGCATTAAAGCCTCTGCACCAATGAAACGCACTGCACCAACCTCCGATCCTGTAACAAGGCGGTTGCATTTACTCGAGTGGTCAATGGACAGGATTCCTAGAGAGTGGCCCTTCACTCCCGTCTCCTGTGGCGAGCGTTGGGAATGGTGGCTGAGATCAATCGTGTGCCAGCAGCCATCTCCTGTGCCTGGAGTGACAGCACATGTCAAATCAGGGGTCCTTGTTGGTATCACAGCCCTACCAGGAACAGATGCCAGGACATGCGTTGGGGGTGTCTGGTTGAAGGCCCCACATCAGCTGGCAATGTCATAGTTGCATTCCCAATAGTGTTCTTAAAACCAGCTTCTGCATTGATTGGACATCAACATGGACTCAGCGATCCTGCTCATCCTCTTGCATCCCAAAATGAGATATGTCAGTCCATTCTCAACATAAGGGTCCCTTGCAAGATTAACGTAGATGATGCAACAACTATAATGCTTAGTCACGTCCCAGCTCACGGGCTGATGGCCTTCAAATACGCTGGAAATAACCTTACCGGGGAAGTGCCTCTGAAATAATGCACAGACAAATACCTAACACACAAATACCACCCTACCTGCATACACAGTGCCTTTCCTTGTTGCCTCCACAGCAATGCAGTTGACTTCAGGGTTGCCGTGCAAACTCATGTCAGCACCAGCTGGTGTGAGATCAAACTCAAGCTTGGGCTGCACAGTACAGACCAAAGGCCCCACCCCGCTTGAGCGCTTCGACGGCTGCACGCCAGCAGCCACACCATTCCCATTGGCATTTGCACTGGAGGAACAAAGTGAGAGCAGATGTTTCCAGCTCCAGACAAGCAGGTGGCCATCGTCACCACCAGATATGAGCAGGGTGTCATTCCCTGGGCACAAGAGGGGCGTTCAACTCCTTTTCTCAGCGATGCTCCACTGCACAAAGTTGCAAAGTGTGCAGGGATTGTCGCATCCAGCAATCGATAACCCATATAAGGGCCTGCTGCTAAGGGGACGGCTTGCCATTGGGTCACAATGACAGAACATCAGCACTGAGAGCGTTCAGGTCAAAAATTTGTGGCATGCATGGGCGAGTCCACAATGCGGTGAGACGCCTTGTAGCACATCGACTACCAGACAAGAAGCAACCCCGAAATCACAGAGGAATTAAACAGAAAATGCACTTTCCCTGAAAGGATTCGTGCAGTGGTTTAGCCCACTATACAGTAACTGTATTATTGACATGATGCCACATGTTCCAATAAATGGGCAACCAGTTGATATCTGTTCCCATTTCCTGCAGTCGGTGATGAAACATTCAGGGTGCATACCCAATTGCATTTGCAGAAATCAGGGTGTTCTTCTTGGTTTAAGTGCCTTGGATGTAGGGCACAAATGCCTGTACGGGGAGGAACACTGCAGTTTCACGATGCATCCATCGTTGCCATATTTGCAGCAGGGTATTGTGTTGTCACAAGCTGGAATGCAACCCCAACACCCAGTCTTTTTCTGCTGAATCCATCCAAGACAAACAATGCTGGGAGCAATGAAGTGCCACTGAATGCAACAGGCAGCACAAATGTACTCCTGCTCACGATGGTGCAGAAAGCCACTACCCTAATGGGGGACATACGGCTTGTGACATTCTATTTGGAGAACAAGGAGACAGTGAAAAGGGAAACAGGCAAATTAAGATTCGTGAAAAACTGCTTAGAATGCATTTCTAGCCATATCTTTAACTGCCAGGCCCCTGCACCCGGAAAGCACAATGTGGCACAGGGCAAGAAACATACTGGCAAGCCATCACACAACTGATGTGCAGAAATAGCATTAGGAAGCCACTGTCACCTTGGTGATTACACATTATTGAAAGCCACAATGACTGACCAGGCAGTTTTGGAGATTCATTGCTAGCATAGGACTGGCTGGACAACATGCAACCGAATGGCCTGCACGGTACCAAATTGGCACATAGCAACTCACCTACATCAAGTTTTTCAAGAGCATACACTGGCCCTTTATGCGCCCTGAACCTCAAAACTGGTTGAATCGCTGGCTGGTTGCTGTTGTTCCGTTGCGTCAAGGTACTAGTTTCATATATCCTGTCAAATTGTGCCATGCCATGGAAGTGAGGTTAGCCACAGTCCACTGTGTATTGCATTTTCGCTATTTGTGCTCTGAACAGAACCGCACATTGTAGAATGTTTTGGAAGGGCAGCATACAGGGCTTAGGCTAAAACCTAAACTAAAGGGCCTTGATTGTTGTTCAACAGCATCCAGCCTGTTGAGACACACTTCTCATTCCCACATTTGCCTCATGGCACAAATGGGTTTACAGTGGCATGTATGTCAAGCTAAGCTACACGCAAAGCGCACATATATCATGATAAGCTGGCAACATGCTGTGACAGTTGCCTGACACTGTTCTGAGCAGTGAGAAACACATCATGCACATTGAATTGTTTCACTAACAGACGCTGCTTTAGAGGTGTAAAGTCAACCACATGGCTCTGAGGACAAAGGCAAGATTCTCCCCGCTAGTCAACTCAACTCCTTGTTGGAGCACAGAGGAGGATTGCTTGTGCTGTGTACAAATCCAAGGCATCCGGTACAGATTCCTTCCTCTGGTGCACATCAATTCTATCAATCCCTGGCTGTGTCTGCCTTTGCCAAGCTTTGTGAGGTCTTTGTAGACTGCCCAACAGCTGGTGCTCCTCATTATCTAAGTTCAGCAGACAAGTGGCACGACCAGTGTGTCGCTCTTCACCATGCCTCAAATGGATAAATGCATTCCTGGAGATGTGCTTTGGCAGGACAACACAGTGCCACTTTCGATGATGGACATGTTCGGGTACCTCTCCAATCGCGAGTTCAGACGCCGCATCAGAGCAAAACACACCAAAAATGTGCTCCTTCTGCAGATAGTGTGCTGCCAATTCCAATGGCTACAAACCTGATCTCCCCACTACTGTGTGCACCAACAATGAAGTCCGCAAAATTGCCCCCCGTTGGAGTCGCCATGAAGATTGCAGAAAAGAATGTCTCATATGCCTCATATGGCGTCCCAAAGTACTCATCCTGGGAGTTTTGCTGAAAAGAGCCCCTGTACATACCCAACAAACCACTGTGTGGATTGAACCCTGTCATCGCCTCTCGGGTACAAGGGCCGTGCTTTGCCATTCCATGAAAAATGCAATCCCAGGAATTTGATGCACAAATTAGGCCCAAAGGTGTGTCCGGGTCGGTGCGCAACTGAGCGCAGGCTGGCTCAGCGTATCAAGAGAGCATTTCTGCGTTTGAGGTTTCGGAATGTTCACCACCAGCTGACCTTTCATACAGGCTGATCGACAGTGCCAGAGGCGTCACGGGTCACGGGTCAGCCAGCGCCAAATGCGATCACCGACGCCCCCTCTTCTCTGATCAAACACGGCCCAAGCCGAATGAGACAAGCGGAAAACGGCATCGCGGTAGTGGTCTGTGGCGTCACCGCGGCAGCTCCATATTGAGCCGCTCTGGCCAAATGCCGGAGCCACGCCAAGCGCACGCCTGCTCCACTCACATTCTGTTGCGCTCCCCTTTGCAGGCTGCCCACTCGAGCCAGCTCCTGGCGCCCGTTCAGGCGGTCCCTGCCGTCAAGCCGGGGGGCAAGGGACCAGGGCACTGGGCTTTCGCTATCCTGCTCGCAACTACACATATGTTTCTTGATGGCAACCTGGGCAGCGGCGACGCGCGGCTGGCAAGAATGTGCAGCGCCCGCCCGCCCGATGTACACACCCGATGTACCCGATGCACGCGTCAGCAGAGCGTGGCCACCGGCCATGCGGATCGCCCCACTTAAGCCGGCACTCCTCTCCTTCCAGGCAGTGTGGTACGCTTCGCAGCGTGCGCCGTGTCCTCCGCGGGGACACAAGGCGCCCGCTGCTCGCCCTTCAGCTGCCAACGGCCGGGTCCCCCCCTCCTCTTCCCCTTACGCCCAGTCGGCGTGCCCTTCCGGTTGAAGCTCCCGGCTGCGCGGAGCGCCGGGCGCCGATCAGCGCGCTCGCTGAGCCGCGGCGGTTGCGCTGGTGCCCACCGTGGGTGGCGCCATGCTGTGGTTTTTCTACACCTTCTCGCTGTGCGTCGTGGCCGCGGCGGCGGGCTACCTGACCTGGAAGTACCCCAACGCCCACACGGGCCCCGTGGTGAAGCTGAATGCCTTCCTGGCCTGGCTGGCCTCCTTATCCATGCTCGCCCTGGCGCCCGCGGACATCCTGGTGGCCCTCGACGCCCAGGTGGAGCGGGAGCACCCCCTGGCGGTGCTGTGGCAGGTGGCCTACTGGTACGCCTTCGTGGCCATGGTCCTTTTCCTGCCCTTCCTGCAGGGCTACGGGGAATCTGGAGACTTCCTGCTGGTCGACAAGGTCATGTACTCGCTGCGGGACAACGGCAAGTTTTACGGGATCGTGACCCTCCTAGGCCTCTTGGGGGTGATTCTGCTGGCGGCGCTGGGCCAGCTCGCCCCCAACAACCTGCTAGGTTGGCTGATGGGGGTGTCGAATGCGTACGGCCTGTTTGGGGCCATCTTTTTGATGGGCTACGGCCTGGTGGAGGTGCCGCGGAAGCTGTGGCAGAAGGCGGACGTGAGGCGACGGGCGGCGCTTCTGCACCACAACGCCGGTGTGCAGGTGGAGAAGGCCGGCAAGGCACAGAAGAAGTTGGCAAAGACGATGGGGGTGGTGGACAGGGTGTCTGATCTGTTTGGGACGCGGGACCGGCTGAGGCCGTACATGGACAAAATCGAGAGGATGATGGAGAGGGTGGACGAGGTGGCGCCTGAGGAGGTGGACTTGGAGAAGGAAGACGTGGATTTGGACTATTTCACAAGGCAGGATTTGGGGGAGCTGCGGAGGCAGCTGCGCCAGGCGATCGAGGGGTTTGAGAGGGAGAAGGAGCGGTACCTGCAGCTGGTGCGGACCTACTTCAGGGTGCACGACGTGCTGCAGAACATCGACCGGGTGGGCTCTGGATTTGTGTCCTACACGCGGACAGACAGCCCTGGGCACCTCAGCAGGCTGGAGTGGTGGTGGAAGTGCAGATTGCAGGGCTGGAGCATGCAGTGCCTGGCTGTGGCGCTGTGCTTTGTTTCGGGCGCCGTTGTGGTGGCCGAAGTGGGCATCTCGGACCGCCTGCCCAACCTGTCTCTCTTCTCCATGGCCCTGACCAGGGTGGCAGACAAAGACTTGATGGTACTGGCGGTGTCGTTCCTATCTTTCATGTACCTCTGCATCTGCACCTACTACACCCTCTTCAAGCTGGGTCAGTTCTCCTTCTACCTGCTCGTGCCCCGCCACACCTCGCCTTACTCCCTCCTGACAAATGCCCTCTTCATGGCGCGATTCTCGTTCCCCCTTGCCTACAACTTCCTAGCAGCCATCGCTATGCCAGCTGGGAAGTCAGCGGACGAACCAGACCTGCAGCAGACAGAATTCTACAGAGTGCTCGGGAGCAAGATGGCTGCTGCCCCGGTCATCGGCTTCCAGTTCACCACATACATGCCAATGGTCATTGTTCCATACATGCTCCTGGTATATTTCAGGGTCTTCAATCGGGTGGCCGCTTTCTTTGATCCCACGAAGCGCTTCTCCTTCGATGAAGACTGGGACTCCTCCTACATATCCACTGGACAGTCCATGCTGAGGAGGGAGCTGGAGAATGCTCAAATGAACCTGCCTCTGGGTTTGACCATTTCCCAAGGAGTGCCTGCTGATGCTGTCTTGACGCCTCGTCGCAATGTCTTTGGCACTCGAAGAGCGCACTGGGCAAGGGCCCGGGCGCGCTCAGACAATGGCCGTGAACGTAATGGCCGAGAGTGGGTCAGAGATGCCACTGCCAGATTGAGTGATGCTGTTGGTCGGAGGAGTCAGCAAAGCAGGCCTAGCACGTCTGTGAATCGGGGACAGAGTGTACAGAGGAATGGCGGGAGATGGGACAGCATCTTCTCGCACATTTGGGGACGGCAAGACGATGATAACACACACAGAAGTGAGTATACCAGGCTCAGAGGTGAAGACATCGCAAGCGATGGTGGCAGGAGTTGGTTTAGATTTGGTGGCACAGGGAGGCAGTAGTGTTTGGGGCGACATCATGAGGGGAGATTCTTTGTCTTTTAAACGAAACACTTGTGGGAACTCAACCCTGATCCCATCCATGATGGCGATGGTAAGGAGTTGGCTTCTGCTCCATATCACACACGGTGGACGTTCAGGCTCTTCCGACCTTCAATAAAGGCACATCCATTAAAGGAGTACACCCAAGGGGCTCCTTTGCAAGAATGATGTGACTGCTGTGGCTTACCTGCAGCACACAACGGAAGCATGAACATAACTATTGCATGTGTTTAGCCTTGCCTTTTTGGCTCAGTGTTGTGTTCGAACTGGGCCAGTGTTGGCCATGGCTTGCTGCACCCAGCGCACCTTGCTGCGTTCGAGCTGGCTGAAGAAAGCTGTGTGCTGACCTGCACCGCCTGCCGCTCTGCAAGCGAAGGAAAAAGAAGCTACGAACCCATGTTGCTGTGTGTGGCCTCGTGGACCCGTACTGCTGCCCCACAGTTAGACAATGTAGACAAGGACACCACTGAGGACTGCCCTGGCCATCGGAAGAATATGGACACATCCATGCTGTTGAGAAAGCTGTCTTGTTAGGGAGAAAGCTGTCTTGCCCCACGATCGTGGGGTGGGAGGACACGCACAGATTTTGAGGGGGGGCGCAGGCAGGCTGTATGTTCCAGCCAGTGTACCCTTTCAGGTGTGGGAACGAAGTCTGTGCTGCACGCAACAATCTCTCTCCTGCAACATTCTGTAGCATTGTTCGTGCTTGGCTAGATATAAAGGCGTTTGTGACCCACCCCACGGTCGTTGTTTGGCAACGGGGAAGGCTCCATTGCGAACTTGCCCTCTGGAGGACGAGGCAACGCTTTCTTGGAATTGCATAGGTGCACAGGTGATCGCAGGCTAACCTTGGGGCATGGGCAGACAACATGTTCATTGTTGATATCAGCACCTCCATCGTCACCTGGGAACTGCTTAAGGAGGCAGAGTGTGCCTTCGTATGGCGTATTGGGTGTGCTCATCGAGGGTTGAAAGCAGCTGCTCTGCTGCACATGTGTGGCACTGGTGCAAAAAATTCGTGCCAGACAATAACAATCGCGTGCAAGAGCGACGGTGTCCCCATCAACGCAAACAACACGGCTGCAAGCAACAGGTCGAGCAAGCAAGCTGAACGCGACTTGCTCTTTGCTACAGCATTGAGCTTAACACTCAACGTGTCCAAACGGGCGTTACTTTCACTGCATGGAATGAAGGGAGGAAGAGCGACGCTGGAAATTCCTGGATACCCGGGTACCCGGGCCAGGTGCTGCCCTGATTGGCACCCGCAAGTGGCATCAATCGGCGCCCCAAAGAAGCCAATTGGGCACCACGCTTCGTCGTGCATAGGCGGAGATCCGCTGCAGATCTCGTGCCTCCCACGGCCTTCCGGGGAGGCCTGGTAGTACCCCGCGCTTTCGCCGGCGCACCGTCCGTCCGTCCGCGAAATACCATGTTCGCGGAAGCGGACGGGCGCCACCACCTCCGTCCACAAACTTTGCACCGTTTGCAGAGACGTCGTCGTGGACTGCGTTAGACAGAAGCCGACCAAGCGCGGCGAACCGGTTTCCGTACCCGGGTATATACCCTGACCCGGGCACAGTAGGACTCCCTA